TTTGTCTCGGCTTTCAGAAGCTGTGACTCAGGAAGAGCAGTTCACTTCTGTATGACTTGGGGAGAGCCGTCTTGTGGAGAATAGAAGGAAGAGTAGAAATGTCCTGGAGAGGATTTCCAAGGAGGAAGCCGAAGCAGCAGCACCTTAGAATTTCACTAGATCGACGTCTTCCTCATGTCTCAAATCCTACACTATTTTATGTGGTGCTAATAGGGAAATAGTAAGATTGCCGTTAGAACGGATGAGAAGGGGCAGGGGTAAGGCACTTGTTGCCAAGCCTGAAAAATTTTGAATTTGATCCCAGAGGCCCACACGGTGGAGAGAGAGAACTGACTCTGCAAGCTGCCCTTTGACCCTTCCGTGTGCCCTATGGCATGTGCTCACGCTCACACAGTAGATAAATAAATAAATGAGTACTTGTAGTTTAATTAATTAATTAATGTAATTAAATTAAAACAATAATCGATGAGAGATTGTATTTGTGGGGCCAGCTTCTCTCCTATAACAAAGTCGACCATGGGAGGTAGAAAGCACGGTAAAAAATTTAAGGACAAAGGAACTTAGCATCACTGGAGGGCTGGGCTGGCAGGCACTGGGTAGCACTGTGGACATCCCCAAGATGCTCTGACCTCATTATAGTTTCCAATCTTAGAAACTGCAACCCACATCTGTAAGGATTTGGAGCCGTCAGTTCTGCAGGGTGATGTCAATCCCACTGGGCGACAAAAAGACCACTACTATAATTTCTGAGCCAAATTTGAAGCAAGTTTTATTAAATGCTGGCCAGGATTCCCAGAGTATGGCACCAAAGTATGGTAGGCAGAGGCTTATAAAGGCTATTACTTCCTGCCTTTGTCTGATGTTGGGGGCAAGCATACATCCTGAGATACTTCCTGCCTACATGCGGTCAAGCACATCTTGTTCAGTTGGAGCAACCAAGCTTGTTTACAGAAGTGAAAATATGTGATTTATTACCTTATATGAACAACAGCCCCCAGCATTCCAGGAAAGTATCTGTCCTTGGGCAAGTGGGAATACAGGCTTAGAGACAGTTTAGTTTTATAGGTCTCTTAATCAAAATAATTTAAACTTAAAACATTAGCCCACACAGTGGCCTTGAATGGATCAAGGTCAGTTCATAAGTGTCTTAATTACTTCTATTGCTGTGATAAAATACTCTGACAGGAGAAAAAGTTTATTCTAGCTCATGGTTCACAGTGAAGTTCCTCAGGGTCGGGGAGGACACTTTGAAGCTGGAAGCAGCTACTCAACTCAAATATATAACCAGGAAGCAAAGAACAATGAATAGCTACTCAGCCCCTTCCACACACAGTCCAGGATCCTAGCCAGGGAATGGCGCCGCCCACAGTGGGTGGATCTTCCCACACAAGATAACCTAAGCAGTCCCTTCCAACCATGCCCTGAGGCCCCTCTCCTAGGCTAGCCTAGATCTTACCAAGAAGACAATTGAGGTTAATTATCTTGAAGTTGGGTCTATTTATCTAGACACCGGGGGGTCCTATATCTTGCCTTGCAAGAGTATATGAAATCGTTTTCTCAGAAAGTAATAGATTTTCATAAACTCCTGTTCATTATAATTTGTGCATGTACTAGCTTTCCCAACAGATCTTAAATGTATTGGGGCACTATGCCTGACAAACAGACGTTCAAAATTCAAGGGGCTGGGTGGCTACAAACCAGGGCTAGAGACTCCTACATATTCTGCTCCCTGCTCCCCTCTCTTTCCCCCCTCACAAAGGGTAGTATTTCCCTTTGTGACTGTAATTAATAAGGATGCCGGGCAGCTTTCTTCCACATAGATCAAAGCTCTTCTGAAGCTTTACCTCATTGTCTCCTCTTGGTCTGGGAGAGGCAAATTACTAGTTAGCCTAGGATGACTGTCCCCACTCCACAGATGACAACAAGGTCAAGGACTCAAGAACTGACTCGTGGGTGGAGGGAGCATCTGCTGGCAGCCTGCCAGGGAAGTATGGCTCCTCTAATAACTACGTTGGTTGCTTGGATTTCCCAGATGGGGTTTCCACCATGAGATGGTACCAATATCTTCTCTCAAAGTGACTCCCATTGTTGACTTCTTCACGTCCCTGTGTAGGGTTGCCAGTGTTGTGTTTTATAAAAAGAAAAGAAGCCAGGGATATGTTTGGTGGAGGCACGGTATGGTGTGGGGGAAGGGAGTGTCTCTGTGGACCCATGTTGAGGCATCTCTTCCACCTGAAGAACCAGCCATAGGATGGTATAATATAGAATAGAGCTTTTTTAGGGCATGGGGAGGGGAGTTGAGGTAGTAGAGACAGAGTAAAGCAGAGAGAGAGAGAGAGAGAGAGAGAGAGAGAGAGAGAGAGAGGAGGAAGGAGGAGGAGGAGGAAGAAGAAGAAGAAGAAGAAGAAGAAGAGGAGGAGAGGAGAAGGAGGAGGAGGAGAAGGAAGAAGAGGAAGAAGAGGAGGAGGAAGAGAGAGGCCAGCCATGAGCAGTGGGGAGAGAGGGGGAAGAGGGTAAGGGAGCAGGAACAAGAGAAGAGGAGAAGAGAGTGAGGAGGGGCATGTATCCCGTTTTATAGTGAGTTGACACACCTGGCTCTTGCTAGGTAACTGTGGGGCAGAGCCTAGACAAAATACCAACAGCCAGGAACTGGGGCTTTTAGAATGTAAAAGCAGCTTGGGGACTGGCTGTTTGGCAAGCCAATGCCGATTCTACACACCTACTAAATATACTAAATTTTAGTTAGTCTTCCTTGCTGAAAACTTGTGGTTCACACTGCCTAACCTTCATGTGAGTCACCTGCTTGATCCTCAATGGCCCCTGAACTAGGAATCTATGACCTTTGACCCTGCTCTGTCCACACCTCTATCACCAAGCTGAAAGGGTTTCATGAAAGGAATTGTCTCCGTGTTTTAAGGCTGTGTATAAAGAAGCCTCGAGAACAGCATCTGAAAGCAGATTCAGAGAACCTGAATCCCCTAAATCAAAATGTATGGGAAAACATAATTCCTGTCTAACAGTAGGGCTTTCTTAAATATTAATTAAATGGGAATTGTTGATGGACACTCTAATTCCTGGTTCACAATAAATGTTCAAAAATATTTGTTAGGACTATAGAGGTTAGTTTTTTGTTTCACTTTTTTTTTTTTTTTTGAGACAGGGTCTATGTGGCTCTGGCTGTCCTGGAACTCGACTATGTAGACCAGAGATCTATCTGCCTTTGACTCAAGAATGCTCAGATTAAAGGCAAGTACCACCAGGCCTGGCCGTAGAGGTGTAGTATACTCTCAAGCCTTTCCACCAGAACTCAGTTCTTAATTTCAAAAGTTCAGCAAGACTGATCACTGGCCTGTCTATTCCTGTTCCAGAACAACCCATCAACTCCTAGACTGTGCTGAAGGTCTCTTATGTCCCAGGAGTTGCATCGTAAACCAGTGGTATTTCAGACATGCTGTCACCATGACGGCAGCTTGGACTGGTCTCCTGCCACTCTCTATACTGCTAGGACTTCTCAGCACGTGTGGGTGGTGTTGGAGGTGTTGGCAACAGCCTTGGAACATAGCCTCAGCAAAGTAGCACTTGACTGAGAGCCATCCAATTGATAATGCCGGAGCCTTGAGTTCTGGAGTACATTATATTCCCACCTTGGAACAGTCCAGGCAGTGTTGCTGACTTAACTGTGTTTTAAGGTCAGCCAATTGTCAAGCCAGCGTGGAAGCAGGGACCTTTCTGCTGCACTAGGGGAACTCGGTCACAATGTAACAAGTCCCATTCCGAGCACGTATGTGTGTACTTACTTGTTTGAGCGTGCAGAATAGCTTTCACACAGAGCCTTCTGACCACAGAGTCTTGCTGTGGGACTTCACACTCACGAGATGTGTGAATCTTGCGGCCTCTCTGCTGACAAATACTCATCAAGAGCTCACCTTGTGTCTGCATTTTCATCGGGGTGTGTATAGAAAGCAGATGCCAGGAGAGGATTTGTTGAGGAAGGTTTATGTTCAATGAGGCTGTTTAGAAAGGTGTGGGGTTGGAGCCTCACAGGATGGAACAGTAGCGTGGCTCAGGGGCAGCCACTATGTTACCAGCTCTAGTCTTAACACAGTCACCATGGCATGATCTCATTGCATACTTGTGGGAAGCCCAGCTGAAGTGACTTCCAGCTAAAGGACTTACTCTGCTCTATGTGTGTGTCACACACACTAGGAAAAAAATCACAAGGAAACACCACCTTTTTAGCTGACTTTCCTTTTTTTTTTCATCTCAGGGTCCCCCATGGATGGAACTCAACAGAAGCCTGGAGCAGTGAGGTTGGAAGTCTGAGGCAGGTGGATCTCTGTGAGTTTCAGGCCAGCCTGGTCTACATAGTGAGTTCCAGGGCAGCTAGAATTACATAGTAAGACCATGTCTTAAAAACTAAAAACCAAAAACCAAAACAACAACAACAACAACAACAACAACAACAACAAAATCCAATTGGTAAAACAATAGCAGTAACAAGAAAACAAGAACAGCACCCAAGGCCTTTCCTAGGGCTTCAGATCCGCAGATCCCAAGTGCAGCTTGAAGCCCATGCTTCCAACCTCTAGAAAGGATGGTGAAACAAAGCAAACGGACATTAGGTAACAGCAGCCTAAATACTGCGGAGGATTAAGTAAACACCGAGACGTGCTTCGGATATTTGAAATGAGTCTCTTTTCCAACTCGTTTAATAAATCAAGCAACAGTGAATATTGGTTATATTTATATCGGTTCTTAAGGCTTTGAGAGCTACAGTGGCCGGTAAAACAGCAAGCGGGCTGCAAACCACATTTCCCAGAAGCCCTCGGGCTCAGAGGAACACGCCCCCCCTTAGCCGTTCAAAGACTACAATTCCCAGAATGGAGCAAGCACAAGGACCACAACTCCCGGCATGCCCGCAGCAGTGACAGAGAAGCGCGCCCTTTCTCTCGCCCCGCCTCCCCCGCCGCTCGCAGCCAATGGGAAGGCTCTGTATTACAGGGTGTGGACGGGGACAGCGCCGTGGGCAAGTCGCGAGTCTAGGAAAGCGGCGGGAAGTTCGTACTACGTTGTGGACGGCGAGTTGCCCGCTGTGGGTAGGAAGCGGTGGGGTGGCTGCGGGACGGTGGGTACGGCGTCACTTCAGAGTGGCGCCTGCTCGTCCGGGTGTCCGCGGCTGGGTCGGGCCTGCCGGGGAACCCTCGCTTCTCTGCCCGCTCGCGGAGCTGCCGGAAGCCCGGTTCTAGAAGGCCGCCCGAAGCCGGGCCAGGGCCAGGGTGGCGGACAAGGGGACAGGGACCTGGACCCCTTGTCCAGGGGAGGATTCTCGTCCTTAGCAGCGGTGAGGTGAGGCCTCGGGGCACACCCGCGGTCGCCAGCTTCTCGTCTCCTTCCTGGAGTTGCTCCTCAGGTCTCCACCGCCGGTGCCCTGTCTCCTGGTGCAGTGTCTTCAGAGGCAAACAGGTTTGCTCCGGCGCCAGAGTTTGTTTTAGATCGTTTCCAGTCCTAATAGCGTTAGGTGTGAAACTGCGCCAGAGTCTTTGAGAGATGGGGGACACACGCTAGTGCTGATCAGGTTCCCCGCTTTTTTCTATTGTCTTATTGTGGACGTTAACCATTCTGTATGTCTGCGTGTATTCTTCCTTTCCGTACCTCATTGCTCTTGGAGCAATTTGGAGACACGATGTTGCCATTGGGGAGGTGGTGGTTAAACTTACAGGATCGTTGAAGAGCTTCGTTGCTTTCTTTCTTTTTGGGATTCAAAAACAGTGGAAAAAAATGTAGATTAGCATTTTATCATCATTATCATCATTATTTTGGATTTTCAAGACATTTTTTTTTTCTTTCTGTGTAGCCTTGGCTGTCCTGGAACTTGCTCTGTAGACCAGGCCAGCCTTGAACCCACAAGAGATCCGCCTGCCTCTGCCTACTGAGCCCTGGGATTAAAGGCATGTGCCATCACCACCAGGCTTAAGAGTTCAGGAGAAAAGCATCTCACTTTTTTGGTGACGTGCTGGTTGGGGAAGTTTAATTTACAGTTATGGTTGGAATTAAGTTATCTGGGCGGTTAAGAGAGTGTTCATCTACCTGTAGAAAGGAATGTAACTTGACATCACTTAATAATGGCTTTCCCCTGTCGTGCGACCACAGATGGCAGACACTGCCGCTCGGCACCGCTGATGGAGACCGTGCTAACAGTAACATGGGCTGGGTTGAGTTGGATAAGGAGTGTGTGTTAGGCATCAGGGATTCTGTTCAGCACATAGTATCCAGTACAGATACCACGTTGGTAACTGTAATGGCTGCCGCTCACGCCTGGCATTGCAGAGACTATGAGAGTTTATTTGTTAAACAAATGACATGGTGGAGTTGATGTGTTAAGCAGGGAGCCTGGCATCGGAATAACCGTTCCGAGTGCCCAAGGAACGGTTATGTGGGAAGTTTAGGCTGAGTCTTATTCAAGTATGCGTGCATATATTTTAAAAATAACAGCAGTGCATTTAAAATGTTGACAGACCCTAAAATTAAATTTCTTACAGGAAATAGGCCAGCTTTTTTTTCTCTTAACTTTGAGAACTAACATAAAATAACGAGTGAATGTCCCGGATGTCTAGAAAAAGACAAAGATATACATTTTGACCTTTTTTTTTTTTCTTCCCCTTAAAGGCATCCATAATAGACATGCTATGAATAGGATTTGATTAAAAAAAATAAAATCTTAAAATATTTTTTATTTAAAAAAATAAAAAAAATATTTTTTATTGAAAAAACAAACACATTTATTTGGGATTTACCTTGCAATCAAATGCAGAAGTGTGACTCCTGAGTTTATGAAAATGGGCAAAGGCTCATGTCTTAAGACATCAGGCAATGGGCCTGCTGGGAATTAAAGTGCTATTGATGGCTCAGCGTGAGGTGATCTGGACGGGACCTCAACGGACTGGTGACAGGGTGCCCTGGAGCACGTTTTACACAGGTAGAGCATTTTGCATGCTTGTCAGGGGTTTTTGTTTGTTTGTTTGTTTTGTTTTGTTTTGTTTTGTTTTTTTGAGACAGGGTTTCATCATTAGCCCTAGCTGCCCTGGATCATGTTCTGTAGACCAGGCTGGCCTTGAACTCCCAAGAGATCCGCCTACCTCTGCCTTCCAAGTGCTGGGATTAAAGGTGTGCGCCACCACTGCTCAGCTGTCCAGGGCTGTCCAGGTTCTTTTTAAATATGGGAGGACACAGACCGATAGTGAGAGCCACTTGGGACCCGAGACCACATGGCAGCTGCTAAGTGCACAACCTACCCTTGCTTGTCCCACTGTTTGGCTGAAGCAGTAAGGATGTGAGATGAGTTTGGAGGGTGGTAACATTGGCCCAGTGGTCAAACTTTTGGCCCATATTTCGATGACTGTATTTGCAGTTGCCACTGTAAAGCCATAAGATTGGCCAGTGTCATTTAATATTCCCTCTGAGAGTGCAGTCTAAGCCCTGTGTTCAGAGGTTGCTGTGTTGGAGTAACTTGTTGTATTTCTTTTCTTTTTTTCTTTTTCTTTTTTTTTTTTTTTTTTTCAAGACAAGGTTTCTCTGTGTAGCCCTGGCTGTCCTGGAACTCACTCAGTAGACCAGGCTGGCCTCGAACTCAGAAATCCGCCTGCCTCTGCCTCCCAAGTGCTGGGATTAAAGGCGTGCGCCACCACCGCCCGGCAGCTTGCTGCATTTCAAAACGTTGCCTGCAGCCTTTGCTCTCAAACCCAAGCGTATCAGTCCTGGGATGGCGTTCATGCAGTGTGTGATCCTCACTAACTTTAGTATTCCGAGACAGGATCTTGCTGTGCAGTCTGGGGCTGCCCTCGAACTCACTTACGTCTTGTAGGTTGGCTGGAGCTCACTGCAGTCTCCTGGTTTACAAGTGCCCAGTGATGTGTGTGTGTGGTGGTGGTGGTGGTGATATGCGTGCCTCAACCTGGCTAGGCTTATGCTTTAAAAGAAGCTCTTTAGAGCCCGGGAGGTAGGAGGTGTGTCCTGACCTCAGAGTAGGTAATAAATTGATCAGCAAGTACTATCTAATAACGAGGACATTTTACTGCCATTCTTTAATAAGCTTAAGAATTTCTTGAGGCACAGTGTGTTTATGAGCTTAGGAAAACTGGTGTTGTGATTCGTTACTCTTTAGGTAAGGTAGTCTTGTATTACTAAGTAGTATCTGTTTGGACATCTCAGGTATCAGACGGACTGTGTGGCTATGTAGAATTGAACAGTATGCTTGTAAGTCTTTAATTCCAGCACTGGAGAGGCAGAGGCAGGCAGAGCTCTGTGAGTTCCAGCCAACCTGATCTACATAGTGAGTTTCAGACAGGCCAGAACTACATAGTGGAGACTCTGTCTTGAAAACAAACAAACAAAGAGCAACAACATCCACCACCACACAAAAAGGTATGCTTATACAAGCTGACTGCAGACCTCACAGTACACTTATGCAGGCTGACTGCCACATTTGTCACTGGGTGACATCATTTTATGGGGCTCCTCTGTACTTAGTCGTTGACTGACAACAGTTGTTAGGTGGCTGGTGACGGCGTCTTGATGAGTCTGCATCAGCTCCTGTTTCTGTGAGTGTCTGGTCCAAGGGGTGAGAACCTGAGCTGTAGGATTTAAAAATTAAGATGGACATGCATTTTGAGTAGTACTAAACATGTACATGAAAATCAATATATCAGTAAGCCACATGGATTAAGTAGGATATATACCAAATGAAAGTCATAGAATTAAATGGCAGAGTAATTAGTTTGACATTCTCGAAAGTTCTGCCAGGTACTTTTAAAGCAGCGATCACACTGACTTTGGAAGGAAGCACACTTTACAGAGCTCAGTATCAGGAATGGAATGGTTGCATGGGAACTAAAAATCGAGGGCTTGTAATTGCTGTGTCTGCATCAGATTTCTCTGTGAATTGGCTGGCTGGCTGGCTGGCTGCTGTTGGTGTGTGAGCACAGACATCCCTAGACTTAGCTTCTTGCTATAAGAACCTCAGAGAGACCACATTATACAACTAGGGATTTTATGTAAGATTAAAAAAATATTTAAAAAATATTAAAAAATCTTATACCCAGGATAAGCTTGCTTGTTGTCTCTCCGGTGTGCGTGTGTGTACATATATAATAAATAAATAAATAAATATATATATTTAAATATATATTTAAATATATATTTAACATATAATTATAATATATACATAATAATATATTATATAATAATATATAGTATTATAATACATAATATTATAATATATAATATATAATATATAATATATAATATATAAATATAATGTATTATATATAATTATATATTACTATATTAATATATATTAATGTATTACACACACACACACACACACACACACACACACACACACACATATATATATATATATATATATATATCCGCTTTATTTGAGGTTGCATTTCTCAAGTTATTTTACCTCATATGTACTAAAAGAAGTACCATCTTTTGGTGATCTTCTGTCCCATTGCATTGTGGGCTTTCTCAGGGTACTGAGTGCTTAGAGGGCTGCCAGTCAATCAGTCAGTCCTCATGGACTGTAGACAGTCAGTATACCCTTCCCCTCCCCACTTGCTGTTTCACTTGGCATTGGCCATTCATGTGCAGATTCTTTGTCGTTGTGAGTTCTCTGTTAGTAATGAGAAAGTCTTTTTAGACATCAAAACAGTTCTAAATTTTTTCTTTTGTAAGAACTGTATTTGGGTTTTAATGCTTAAGAGATTTAGCCTTGTTTTTTCAGGCTTATGCAATATATTTAAGAAGTCATGACTTGGAAATCCATCTTAGAACCTGTTGGCTGGTCTGTAAAATAAATGTATAGATACGGACACTATGAAATTAATTTGGCAGTTTCTCAAAATTTAAACATAGACTTTACATATGATCCCACAGTTGTTCTCCAGACATTTATTGTACATAAATAAAAACTTACATTTATACCAAAAGTTGTTCATTAATACCCCTAAACACTTTATAATAGCCTCAAACCAGAAAGAACTCCCCAACCTCCGGATGACAGAGAAGAAAAATGTGGCATGGCCGTACAGCA